TGCCACTTTATTAACAGTTTTAAAAGATAGTAAAGTGTGTACTGAGTCCCTAAATTTTAAATCATTCCCACAAAAAAATAAAATATATAGATTTCAAAGGTTTATAATACTAAGAAATATATTTAGAAATGAAGGATTCAACTACACACCAACCTTCCTGTAGTTGTTGCAACTGCCTCTTGAGAGAAGCCAGTTTGTCTTGATACATCCTATTAAAAAAAAAAAAAAGCCACATTGAAAGATAAAACATTCAACTCTCAATTCCAAAATTATCTATCCATAGGAATTACCTGAGTTGTTATGGGAATGTCATTAACGTCCCTCAGGGAAGAGAGGAAACTAAAGTCAGCTAGTTGGTTTAAGATACACCAGCAGCTACAGGGAACAGAAAGAGAAAGGACTCTGAATAATATCCTAATTGTGCAGATTCTCCTGTGTTATCCTACCTTTCAAGAATAAGTCTAAATCTGCAACTATGAGGACAGATTTTAATAAATAAGTGACACTGTCCAGGCCCAATGGCTCACACCTGTAATCCTACCACTCTGGGAGGTAGAGGTGGGTAGAATGGTTGAGCTCAGGAGTTTGAGACAAGCCTGAGGACGAGTGAGACTCTGCCAAAACTAAAAAAAATAATAAAAATAAAAAAATTAGCCTGGCATTGTGGCAGGCACATGTAGTTCCAGCTACTCAGGAGGCTGAGGCAAGAGGATCACTTGAGCCCAGGAGATTGAGGTTACTGTAGCCTACGATGCCACAGTACTCTACCCAGGGCGACAGAGTGACACTCTCTGCCCATCCCTCAAAAGTGACACTGATAAACATACAAAGAAAAACAATCTACGATGTTATTTTCCTCAGGATTTAGAGACATAAAGTAACACACATGAAGAAATGTGTTAAGTACAACTCTTATATCAAGTCTACAAATTAGATTATACAATTCCAAAAGAGTAAAATTATGCCCTCAGCATGTTTTTCTATACAGATAGCTTAGCTGTGTAAGCACTAAGTCAATAACCCTTCCTGTCATTTTTTAAAGCACTACTCTTTTAGAATCAGAGAAATAATGGGAATTCAGAAACAAAAGTTAAAATGGAGCACTTTATTTGCAACCCCAGCTGGCTGAGAACACACAGCACACACAAAGCAAAAGAACTTGGCATGCTGTGTTTCCTCTCACACCTAATGGATTATAGGCAATTATACACTTCAGCAAGCCTGTCTGATGGTAGAATCCACGTGTAAATCCCATTTTAGCAATATTTTTGCTTCTACCTGAAAAATATCTCCAACTTCACAGTGACAAAAATAGGATTCACAACTAAAGAACCTGTCAAACATAAAACAGACACAATAACCTTTGGGCGTACATGTTGCCCAAGCAAACACACAGGCAGGATAACATTTTGATTGCTCACATAGGAGTTATATATAAAACTCAACTTTCACTGGTGGAGGAAAAAGGGGGTGGGATCTGAGAATCACATAGATCTAATGCCTTTAGAGCACATCCTGATATACTCTTGAGGCCCACCTTGAATTACACAAGGAATTCGTTTCTTAACCAAAATTATTTTCTATATCCTCAAATACTAAAAGGGCATAATCAATTTAAACAAATCATCTCAAAATCCTCAAATATATTTACAGGAAAGGGAATGGATAAGTAAACCATGCCAAGAAGTATTTGGAACCTAAGGCATTGAATCTTTCACCACACTGAGGACGCAAGCCAGTACCTTTAGATTCCAAATCTGTCTTTAAAAGGGAATACTGACAGACTGAAGTCAACAGGAAAAAAAAAAATCAGATTTGTGAAGACCACGCATGAAGAAAGAACAGGTAAGTGAATACACATCTCAAATGGGTCAAGGTGAACCAATTCAAGCTTTTTGCTGAAAGAGAATAAAAAGCAAGCAAAGTTTCAGGAATGTAACTGGGAGAACAAGCCTATGAATTATTAAAGGAATACTTCATTCAGCACAGTTCAGACTTAGCTGAATTACCCTCTTTGGGTTCTAAAGCATAAAAAGGATGATAGAGTCCAGAAGATGGCCAGAAAATATTTGCAAATAGGACGTAAAAGGAAAGGTATGTGGATTATTTTATTTAAAGGTGAAGAGTAATAAAAGTCTAGTCAAGATATTCAAAATACATTCAACAAATACATATTGAATAGAAAGGTTTTATACTGCCTCCTATCTGCTCATATGCTAAAGTGAGCGGGGATTCCGTTTCTCTGGACAGGTTCGGCTGCAGCTCTGTCTGAAGACAACGAGAAAGCTTGGGTGAGGACAGTATGAATGCAGACAGAGCACTGGACCAAAAGCCAATCCTGGTTTCCAATCCTACTTTCCAAACCTGGTTTCCTTAAGCTTGCCAAGCACCTAGCACACTGCTTAGGATGCAGCTGATGCTAAGTAAGCTCACACCCACCTGCAAACCCAGTTGCTTGAAAGC